TAGACTGTCCTTGGTTTTATCCAATAGAGAGGGTACAAACAGGAAAGCATGCCAGCCAGTTAAGGGTTCAACAATGCATGATTTTTATTCTCTTGCTTCTGAAAGCTTGTATCAAAAAAATATATATATTAAACCAAGGAAAATAACTGAAGATTTATGGGCCTCTTGTGCTTTGAAAACGGGAAGAAAAAAAAAAAAAAATGGGAGCCACTAATTTGCTCAGACACAGCACGCTTAGTGGTCCTGTATTTTTAAATTTTTAAGAATGGTTTTTAAGTGAAAGGGAAAACATCCACTGCCCCTTTCCAGAATTTAAACAAAGGGCAGTAGACATTCTTTACATCCAAATAAAACTATGGCAGTTCACATGTGACCAAGGTGAAATGTAGAATGGAGATGTTCTAAACATGGCTAGGACTCTTAGCAAAACTAACACACTAAAATCATATAATTACATTTTGAAAGAAAATGCACAAAAACCAAATAGGAATTTTGAGATTTTTTTTCATTTGAATCTTAATGCTATTAAATTCACAAGTATGCTAATTTAAATACCCAATTCTATTTATCTAAAACACACATTGCAAACATACAAATTATCTATTCTCTCCACATGTCAGAGCCCATTCATTTCATGGTTTGGAAATGCGGAGAATAGATTCCCCTTAAACTGCAAGTCAGCAGGTGTTTCTTTACAGTTAACTTTAGCAAAATTCATACAAAATAGTAATTAACAATGATCTTCTTTACTTGTTAACTCACAAGGAAACACCTTCAAAACTGCATTTTGTTAAAGTTTCTGTACTAAAATGTAGAAAAACTGAACTACACAAATATTGAAAAGTTAAAAATTCCTTAATTTTTTATTCCTGGTACCACTACCACAATTTACAGGGCAATATACCTGATGTAATGAAAAGAAAAAGAAAAAGACAAAGCTACAACAGATAAAAGACCTCAGGAATGTACATCTAATTGACACTACATTGCATTAATCAATAGCTGCACTTTTTGCAAACTGTGGCTATGACAGTCCTGAACAAGAAGGGTTTCCTGTTTAAGCTGCAGTAACTTTTCTGACTATGGATCATCGTTCCTTCTGTGGCAGATTTTTACAGTTCCTCTAATGCATTTGGGACGACTGTCTCAAAGTAACCTGCAGCTTTCCTGACAAATCCTCGCTCTCTCTCCTGCTAAGAACTGTAGCCTGTTGAATAATACAGGATAAAAAAATTATTACACTCAGTGAACAGTTCCACATATTCTTTATCATCATGATAAAATTTTAAAGATACCTACCCTTTTCTTCTGAAAATTTTTTAGAACCTTCTGCTACCATATCCACCACTTCCACCACCAGAGCCATAACCACCTAGAAATACACAGGTTTTTAAAAAAATGTATTTGAAGTCTTTAATTAAGAAATCTATAAAAATTTTTAACCAAAAGGGGTAGGGGGTGGGGAGTGGAAGAAAAGTACTTACCACCATAGGGACTGCCCGAGCTTCTTCCACCAAAACTGCCACCCTTCATGGGTCCATAATTTGATTGCTGTTGTCCACTATAATTTCCAAAATCATTATAGTTCCCACCACCACCATAGTTACCTGAAATTACAAAAGTTTTATTGTGGTTAACTTGCACAATTATTTTCTTCTTTTCAATATACTGATTATCTTTCCACAATCATGACATCACTCTATTACAAGGCGACCCTTTGAAAATCATATACAGAGGTACCGACTCCACAAGAGGGCCACTAGCAGACCTCAGGCATTAAGTAGGAAGAGAGGATATAAAAAGTGAAGATGGTCCAGGAAAAGCATGTATACAGATAGGTGCCATCTTTCGTCCACATCAGATGCCAACACCCTAGCACACATTCTTGCCTTCATACCACTATCATCAACTATACTTGACCTGCTATAATTTGGACTAGCACAACTTTTCAGTCAGTGACAAAGAAGGTATTCTAAATTGGCTGTTAAAAAAAATTTTTCTAGGGGTGCCTGGCTGACTCAGTGGGTAGAGCATGCAACTCTTGATTTGGGGGTCATGAGTTCAATCCCCATGTTGGGCATATAGCTTAAAGATAAATGTACCTAGGGGGGGGACACCTGGGTGGCTCAGTGAGTTAAAGCCTCTGCCTTCAGCTCAGCTCATGATCTCGGGGTCCTGGGATCGAGCCCCACATCGGGCTCTCTGCTCAGCAAGGAGCCTGCTTCCCTTCCTCTCTCTGCCTGCCTCTCTGCCTACTTGTGATCTGTCAAGTACATAAATAAAATCTTTAAAAAAATTTTTTTTTAAATAAAATGTACCTAGGACATTAAAATTCCAAGTACTTCTGTCCCCTGAACTCCAGACCACACTCTATTCATTTCAATGTGTCTGCACATTCAATTTGCTGTTCCCATTTGTCCAATTTAAAAGTGCACAGAATCAAAATTCTAGCAATAAATACATTACTGAGAAACATCCATTTCAATTACATAAAAATGTTGAAAAATTAGAAAGATGTTTAAAAATTACATAAAAATGTATGACCATAAAAAGTACATTCATATTTTACCAATTTGCTAAACAGCCAGCAAAACAAAAAAATTCAGTTTTATCATTCATCTTTTTAGTATTTTCTAGTATTACTATTTGACCAAATGTTTCATTTTAACACATTTTGAAATATGTTATGAACTATAAACATCTTGAACATTTAAAACAAGTGAAAGCTTACCACCTCCAAAATTTCCTCCTTCATTGTAACCATCGTATCCTCCACCACCACCTCCATATCCACCTCCTTGGTTTCCATATCCTGGTCCACCACCATAGCCTCCTCTACTACTGTAACCAGGACCACCACCATAGTTGCCACCTTAAGAAAAATGGAAGTCACACAAAAACATCAATGTGTGAAGTCAAGTTACTGAACTCTAATTTATATTACAATTGATCAACTTGGAAATAAACCAATGACTTAATACTCAAGACTAGTTAACACCTCATTAACAGAGCATCAAAAACCTGGGCTAGGGGCACCTGGGTGACTAACTCCGTTAAGTGGCTGCCTTCCAGTCAGGTCATGATCCCAGGGTCCTGGGACTGAGGCTTACATCGGGCTCGCTGCTCAGTGGGGAACTGCTTCTCCTCCTCCCTCTCCCTTTCCCCACCTCCCCTGCCTGTGCAGTCCCAAGCAGCAGCAACAGCGGCAGCAGCAAGGCCTAGAGAGGACGGAGTTTAAGACGAATGCTTAAGTATCCAAAAAAAAAAATTATTTTAGTTTCTTTAAATTTAAGTTCACTAATAAATAGTAAACTATCTCCCAAGACACAATTCAGCTCAAATGCTAGTACAATAAATGCTACTGGCCAAAAAAGGAACTAGTTAATGTTACAAGTTTAAGGGGGAAAAGTCTACTTTAATGTAGTCAAGCCATGCAAATTATAACTGAAGTTAAAAATATAAACAAGTATGTAACTTTCCATGAAGTATAGAAACAAAATCAAAATATCAAATACCCATTAAAAACTTACCATCACCTCCAAATCCATTATATCCACCATCACCTCCTCCGTAACTACCTCTGCTGCCACCACCACCACCACCATAGCCTCCTGAGGAAAAACAAAGTATGAATTAAAAACAAACATACAACTTACCAATAAACTTCAGGTAGACACAAGCTTAGATCACCCTCTTACCTCTTCCACCAAAGTTTCCACCACGGCCAAAGTTACCACCACCTCCAAAGTTTCCTCCACGACCCATGAAGTTGCCAGATCCACCTCCACGACCTTTAAACAAGGGAAAGGAAGAGCTTTAAAAACCTCACAAATGCCACTCATACCTATTCTATGTGTATATATTGTACTACTCACCTCTTTGTGATCCAGCAGACTGCATTTCTTGTTTAGAAAGGGCCTTTTTCACTTCACAATTATGCCCATTAATAGTGTGGTATTTCTGAACTAAAAATTTTTTTAATCAAACAAACAAACAGAAGTTATTTGATGTTTGGAAAAACACATCATCACGTAACTTATTAAATATCAAGAAAGTAGTCACTTCAAGGATGAGGGAGTGTTGCAGAATGTCATTTATGAAAACTGAACCAAATGCTTTATAGGCTACTAAATGCAATACAAAATGATAACGCAATTTGGCAAATCTAACATAGCACAAAGGGACCTTTTCTGTATTCTCATTCAAGTTCCAGGAAGTTTCTACTTACCAACAATTTTATCAACTGTATCATGATCATCAAAAGTTACAAAAGCAAATCCTCTCTTTTTTCCACTCTGCCTGTCTTCCATAACTTCTATGGTTTCAATCTTGCCATACTTTTCAAAGTAGTCTCTCAAATTATACTCTTCTGTATCTTCTTTAATACCACCAACAAAAATTTTCTTCACTGTTAGATGGGCACCAGGCTTTACAGAATCCTACAGATTAAAAAATTAGTCAAAAACCAATTCTCCAACTATCTCACATATTACACAGCATAATATTATGAAAATACCTCTCTAGAAACAGCTCTCTTTGGTTCCACTACACGCCCATCAACCTTGTGTGGTCGGGCACACATTGCTGCATCCACCTCTTCAACACAAGAGTAAGTCACAAAACCAAAACCCCTGGAACGTTTTGTTTGGGGGTCTCTCATCACCTATAAAACAAAATTTTAAAGTACTGAAATACATCTGTACAGGCCCTACACCCCTTAACAACCTTTTTTGTTCCTTTAGTAACTCACCACACAATCTGTAAGAGTACCCCATTTTTCAAAATGTTCTCTTAAACTATCATCTGTAGTTTCAAAGCTCAAACCACCAATAAACAGTTTTCGCAACTGCTCTGGTTCCTTTGGATCATGGCCCTGAGGAAACAAATACATTTTAATTATTTCTTTTACCAGGTGAATTGCAGAGATGCACAAGTCCTTAATCTGCTACAAATATTTAATAAACTCAGTATCAGATTCCTGCACCATTAACACTGTCCAATTAAAAACTGGAGTAAGACCACACACCAACTGATGAAAGGTACCCAAATACCAAAAAAAATCTACATAGCCTTACAAATGCCAGTATCACTCCAACTACATTTAAGTCCAAGAAAATTCCACAATCAAAAGTCCCTTAACTTTGGACTACAACTAAAGTGTCTGGGGACAAATTATTTTAGAAGTTGCTACTGACAAACTACTCTTTAAGTAAGAAAACAAGCTGCTGTAAAAGTAGTGTTCTATCCATACCATTTTTCATGTCTTTCCTCATCAGTCTACACTTCAAACATTTAATGTTAAACCACAAAACTGAAGTATGTAACTTAAAGATTCTGAGCAGCCAATTTTTAAAAAATCCATCACTTTCAAGCATATCAAGGTTAAAACAGGTATTCCTCAATTCAAGGCTAAACCAGCACTCTTCCCCCACCCCCCAAAAATTACAAAAAGACACCGACCAGTATCTTGATAGCTTTCTGTAACCAACTTGTTTTAAGGTATATACTGTAAAGTTACCTATTTGCACTTGTATCACACGGCAAAAATTTCAAAAATATACGGTCACAAAAAGGGCAAGCTGCACTTATATTAAATATAGTATATGCTTTTTGACAATAATGGAGCACAAGAGAAACAGATTTTTAAAAATTAAGATATGGCCTGAATTGTTTTGTAACTGAATTAGCTCCTCAGTAAATTAAGTGCCATTTAATGCATGCATTAAGTATAGTTCATCCAAAGTCCTTAAATAAAGGGGCTCACATTTACATTCTAATGTCTTCGTGTGTCTTCCAAAGTAGAGATGTTAAGGCATTTAATATGAAAACACTGTCACATGCTAGAAAAAAATGTTAAATGATTAATAGCCTAAAGCATCAGTTCACTTGGTCTCATCTTTTCAAATCTTGGTTAGTTGTAATTAATCGATAGAACACAGAGATGACAGAATACAATTATAACCCACATAAAATTATCTCTAACATGAAAAATTCAACTGTGGTTGCAGTCCTCTCAAACAAAAATCCAAGAAACTACAACCAGAGCCGACCCACACGACGCGAAGATACGTGTAATTCTAAACAGTTTAGCAAGAATGGCAAATCAGAAGTATTTTAAGGCAGCAAACTGGGTACTGAGAAGAAAAAAACAGGATAATTAAAATTCTCGTCGCCTTAGAGATCTACAAGGACTAGAAACGCGCCGGCATTAACTTCAGCGAAAGCAGTAGGCCGCAAGATCCGAAGCCATTTGTGGCATTTTCTGCCGGGCCGCCTCCTCCCGCTTCCTTCCAATCCCGCGCTCTCTTTCCGGGCGGCGGAGCGAGGCGGCGGCCATTGCGGCCCAATGCGCCATTTCGTAACGCGGCAGCGGATCAATGTCAATGTAGCCGCCGCCCGCCTGCTCGCTCGCCCGGATGTGACTGCTCGTCCCCTCCCCTCCCCCACCGCCTCCTCCCAACCGCTCCCGCCGGGGCCCGCCATGCCGCCCTCGGCCTCGAATCCGAGGCCGCGCGGCTGGCGGGCCGAGTCCCCTCCGCAGGTCTCCCCAACCACGCAGAGCCTCCGAAGGGCCACTTGTGCAGCCGAAGGAGAAGGCGAGGAAGGCGAGGGGCCCCAAGGCGGCCTCTGAGGCCCGCTCCCCTCCCCCCCCCACCGCCCGTCTCAACGCAGAGCGCGGGACGGCCGATCCGGTCCACCCGGCCTCCCCACTCCCACCGAGCTAGGTCCCCCATGCCGGCCACTACCCATCAACCCCCCACTCTCCCCCTAATACCTCCTCCCCCCGGCGGCGGCGGCGACGGCCGGAGTCGGGCTGGGGGCGACCGGGCGGCGGTTTTACCTCCATTTTGAGACCGGACTCGCCTCTTCCAACTCGAGTTCAATATGGGACCGAGAGGAAGAGGCGGGGCTAGTCATCACGTGACGCGCTTTCCGCGCGCCGCCGTGCTGGTGGGGGAGGGGCGAGTTGGGAAGGGGGCGTGGCCAACTGGGCGCGAAAAGAGAATGGACGAGCGGGTTGGCCGGCAGGGAGCGGGGGCGGGCCGGAGCGCGGGAGCGCGCGCGCCTCGCCAACTTCCAGTGCGGTGCCGCCCTTTCCGCCGTTCGCGCCCGGGCGGCTGCGGTGACGTCAGGTCGGACTCAGCGAATGGTGAGCGCCCACGTCTGGAGAACGCCTTATGACCGCTTGTCACCGGAGAAAAAGGCCTTTCTCTTTCTTCTGGCGTTTTTTTCCCCTCCCCCACGTAGACCTCTCGGTATTCATTTACGAATTCATTTCTTTCCCGTGCCTGAATAAAACCCCACTTTTCTCTCTTGTACTTAAAGGTTGCAGAAAAGCCCTCTAGGCTTCTCGGCATCTCACACGTTTCCGGATGCCAGAGACCATTTTCTTTGCGACGCCCACTGTGAGGGCTGCACTGAACGTTCTTGCGACCCCGACTTAAATGAATCAGTGGGCACCTTGGAAAGGCCTCAGAAACGCGGCTGACAGTGAAATTTCACCCTTAATGAGCTGAGGCAGAACTGGTCGAGGTCAGTTCAAGTACTCACCGAACTCAAGAAATCTGTCGCCGCTGTTTACTGTAAACTCACGGTTACTGTGGCAAGAGCTGAAGCAGCAGTTCTCGCGGATTTAATATAAGGAATGATTCACAAGATTTCTAAAAGGATGGACAGATAGGCTCCCTATGCGCGAGTGGTTTTTACTTTAATATTTCCAACTCGGTCTCGAAGTATAAGGAACGAGATAAAGAGTTAAAAACCAGAGATCTAATAATCCTTGATCTAACCAAGTAATTTTAAATTATTCGATCTTGCTGAGCTTTACTTTGCGTTTTTTTTTTTTTAATGAAAATGGGAGTGAAATTAGGTGATCGCCGACACCTGTGAGAACTGTAAATTAATAATCCAGGGATTCATGTTTAAACAAAGGTACTGATTAAAGTGACCACAATTTACAAGTCTTCCCTGCCCTGCTTAGAAATGCCCTGTATTTTAATGTAGCAGTTTGTAAGAGCAGCTTCTTTAGATTTGATCAAGCCCTCCCTTGGAAAGATTAGAAATAAAATCATAAATATTATAAATTGCTTGAAAAAGAGTTTGTGTTAAATGGAGGATGGAAAAAAACAAACAAAAAACCAAATGGGGAACGATCGGTTTGGAGTTTGGAAAAGGGAAAACAAAGAGTAGTAAGAATTTGTTGATATTCATCTATCACTGCCAAACGGAACAGGTGTTTTTTTGGGGAGACATGAACAAAAAGTACTCTGTTCTGCGGCAGAAACCAGTCACCAGGCCTTAATATAACTTGAATGAACTAACCCTCCAAACCAGACTCCACTTGTTACTATTATTCCAAATCACAAGCAAACCATTAAGTATTCTTTTTTTTTTTTTTTAAGATTTTATTTATTTATTTGACAGAGAGAGATCACAAGTAGACAGAGAGGCAGGCAGAGAGAGAGAGAAGGGGAAGCAGGCTCCCTGCCGAGCAGAGAGCCCGATGCGGGACTCGATCCCAGGACCCTGAGATCATGACCTGAGCCGAAGGCAGCGGCTTAACCCACTGAGCCACCCAGGCGCCCCAAACCATTAAGTATTCTTATCTGGTACTCCTGATAGCCACAAACAGTAGTTAAGACGTTCAGAAAAAAGTATACCCTTAGTGATTTGTTTATACATCAAGGCTTTTTGACTTTGATTACTGTGAAATAGTCATGCATAACTTAATCAATACTGAGTACTTAGGAAAACACAAAGTTAAAGACCTTAGGAAGATGGTATCCACACCAAGGTACCTAAGAGGTGCTTCAGAGGTGATCAAGCAGTCTGATCACTTGGCTTCACTATAGGGAATGTTTGTCTAGATGTTTCCTAACCAAGTTATTCCTAATCAATAATAACAATCATAATTTGCTATAATTCTTTCTTTTTTGAATTGTATTAAATTCTTTTTTTTTTTTAAGATTTTATTTATTAGAGAGAGAAGGAGGAGAGGGAGAAGCAGACTCCCCGCTGAGCAGGGAGCCTGATGGGGGGTTTCATCCCAGGACCTTGGAACATGACCTGAGCAGAAGGCAGATGCTTTACCGACTGAGCCACTGAGACATCCCTGAACTGTACTAAATTCTTATATTCATATGAGAAATGTTGGGAGATGTGATAATAAATACTTCATCCAGGAACATGGTATGTCAGTCCATTTATTCTCCTCTTTTGTCCTTCAGTAAATATAGATTCCTCTCTGGATTTGTCCAGGTTTGTTGTTCATCCAGACTTTGTGATTTTTAGACATTAGCTATTTTTTATGCTTTTGTCTAAACTTGCCCTCCAGCCCTGCAGCCACATGGTATCTCATACAAATAGCCATGCTGGAGTTCTTGACCTTGTTGGATACAGACTTGAACCTTGGCTGCTGTCTATCCCTGTAATATATGAGGGGGAGGCAGGGGACAAGGGCCCTAGGGTGAGATGAGGTGGCAGACACTCTTCATAAATAAACTATATCAGGGCCTCTCAGCTTCTTCCATATCACAACACATACAGAAAATGATAATTTTTGCATAGCACCCTAGGTTACATAAACAAGATTTGGAAGCATCTAAACAATGATTAAAAAAAATTTCATAGCATTATCTTTAAATTACATAGTTATAAAATAAATTACAGTGTGTTAGAGAAGATATTAAAAATTACATTTGAATAAATCAAATTTTTCCACATTTTTTAATGATCAACTTGAACTTGTTTCTGTGAATATATTTTCATACTAGGTTCTATGGTTGAAGTGACTTTACGCAGTTTCTGATCTAAACTTTTTTTTTTAAGATTTTATTTATTTATTTGAGAAAGAGAGAGTATGACGGGGCAGGGGTGGGGGTTGGCTGGGAGGGGGAGGGTCAGAGGGAGAAGCACACTCCCTGCTGAGCAGGGAGGCGGATGTGGGACTCAATCCTGGGACTCCAGGATCCTGACCTGAGCTGAAGACAGTTGCTTAACCAACTGAGCCACCCAGGTGCCCCAACTTTTTTTTTAAGATTTTATTTATCTATTAGAGAGAGAGAGAGAAAGAGCACAAGTGAGGGGAACAGGCAGAGGGAGAAACAGGTGCCAGGCTGTGCAGGGAGTCCCATGTGGAGCTGGACCCCAGGGACCTGGAATCACGACCCAAGCCACAGGCAGACACTCAATCAACTGAGCCAGCCAGGTGCCCCTGATCTAAACTTCTTAATGATAAATTTATCATATTCCGAATCGTAATTATCAGTGAGGGACTTTGATCACATAAGTGGGTGATAAAATATTTCAAACTATTTTATATAAACATTCAGAATTTACAATTATATTTAAAGAATAACAACTCTTCCTTTTCTTTTACTGACACATGTAATATTGCAATTTCATAAGATAATGCAAAAAGATTTGGAACCCAATAGTATTTTTTTATATCTGGATTTCCACATTGAAACTAGCCTTCAGAACATGCATGCATTGTCAACAGTTAGCCAAAAAAAGAGTGCATTGCTACAAATGGTAGAAATAGCCACACTATGTTAAGAAAAATATTAAGGGCATTGCCTAGAGTTGAGCCCACTGGAAACCCCACTCTGCCCAGGGTCCTCTTTTACCCTCAAACAGACTGCCCTTGAGACTGTGTGCTCTGCCCCTTGGATATCTGGATCACACACTCAAGAATTGGCTCCAACATCTCTCTGGTCCATGATGGGCTGTGAGGTGCTTTGCATATGGATGCCCATGTGACAGACATCTCCTTGGCCATGCACATTCAGCAGGACTGTAAGTGCTGGTTGTTGTCCACAGTGCTTGCTGCTGGTTTGGCATATATCCCAGACTGCTCTGCACAGGCTGCTCTAAGGAGACCTAAACAAGGTGGCTCATGGCCTGAGGTAGGGACCCAGGGAGCTCTGGCTCTCCCTGACCCCTCTCAACTGCCCCATTGCAGGAGAGGTCAGTTCCTTAATCCACATTCAGGACACCAGCATGCCAAATTTCAGTAGTTGTAAAGCACTACCTAGATTGTGTGCCTCGTTTTATGAATGAGGAAGCTGTTCCGCAGACCAAGGAGTTGATTTTTTCTAAGATTAATAGCAAATTATGCCAGAGTCAGAACTAAAAGAGAATGGAAATTGAAAATATTTTGGAAGGAGGAAGGTAATTCTTAGGAGGAATTGTGGTATACTGTAAGATTTGTTATGCACCACTATATTCCAAATGTAATAATAGCTTTATTTTCCTAAAATCTTGGTTTTTTAAATAAGGAGTATATAAAGTAAAACATAAAACAAAATTCCATTTTTATTTCTCTAGACCTAATGAGTGCATTAAAAATATATGAATGTGGGGGCGCCTGGGTGGCTCAGTGGGTTAAGCCGCTGCCTTCGGCTCAGGTCATGATCTCAGGGTCCTGGGATCGAGTCCCGCATCGGGCTCTCTGCTCAGCAGGGAGCCTGCTTCCCTTCCTCTCTCTCTCTCTCTGCCTGCCTCTCTGCCTACTTGTGATCTCTGACTGTCAAATAAATTTAAAAAAATATATATATATATACGAATGTGTATGGGGCATCCAGGTGGCTCAGTCAGTTGAATGCCTGCCTTCAGCTCACTCAGGTTATAGTCCCGGGGTCCGGGGATAAGGCCCCACTCGGGGCTCCCTGCTCAGCAGAAGTCTGTTTCTCCTTCTTCCTCTACTCCTCC